CCCTGCATCCACATGGGAGACCCGGATGGAGTTCCTGGCTCCCTGCCCCAGCCCCAATTGTTGCAGCTATTTGGGGAGTGGACCAGCAGATGGAAGATCTCTTTGTCTTGGTCTTCTCTCTCTCTCTGTCTGATACTCTGACTTTCAAATAAATAAACAAGAAATTAATATTTTAAGAAGAAAGGAGGAAGAAGAAAAGGAAGAGAAGAAATTGGAGTTAAGCTCCCCACCCCACCATGTGACAGCAGCTGTGGAGCACGGGGATTTCCAGCAGTCTTGTGGTTCCTGACCCAGAGCTGACTTTGCTGTGTGTTATGGGTCTCCCGGCTGGAGGAGGCCAAGGGGGAAGGCGGGATGCCGGGGGACTCCTACATCGTCAGAGGCAACTGACAGAGTGTTGGAGACCACGTTACTGCCAAAGCAGGGCAGCCAGCTGCGTAGGGGGTTAGAAAGCCCAGGTGCAGCCCTGCGGTGGCCTCCTTACCAGAGCCATCTGTAGCTACTCTGCCACCCCTGCAAAGGGCACGGGGTGGGGGCAGGGCTCAGGAGTTAGAGGGCAGAACCGGGGTGGGGGGCTGCTCTCTGGGAAGCACAGTGTGGGGAGCCGACCCCACTCTGGCCACAGTGTCCCCATCTCCATAACACTTCCTACAAGTCTCAAAGGGTGGTGCCTGGTCTCGCCACACCCTGTGGGAAGTTTGAAAGGCACACTCAGAGTTCAGCCTGGGCTCAGCTAGTTGACACCTGCAGCCCCTTGGAGAAACCGTCAGCCGCAGAGTGCAGCAGATGGACCCCGTCCCCACCCCAGCCCCATTCCCTGCAAAGCAGGGGGGGCGGGGGCTGCCTTGAGCTGCCTGAGCAGGGACACTAAGCTCTTTGCCCTTCTCCCTTCCAGGACAGGGGCTCAGGTCTGGATCTAGCTTTCTGGTGGGGCAGGTGGGACAGGGAGCTTTCTCCACCTGCCCAGGCCCCTGCCCCTCCTTGGGCAGGGATCTGAGAAGCCTTGCAGACGAGAACCCCAGGCCTCAATGCTTCTTGCCTGGCACCCTTGACTTGACAAGGCCCCGGGCTGCTTTTGCCCTCCAAACACTTCTGTAGCAGACAATGGTGGAGGCTGCCAGGTCCGCGGGAGGGCTGGGGAGGCAGATGCCCCTTCCACTCTCTAGCCCTGTCTCTCCTTCCGCCTGATAGCCAGGCCGCAGGGCAGCTCTGGGGATTCCCACCTCCTCAGCTCAGCCCCTTAGGCTGTCCTCTCACCCACTCTGCCTGGTTAGTCTGTATGACCCATAGAATAAAGCAGAAATGATGGCACAGGGCTTTCAAGATTAGACATGGGGGCAGGCACTTGGTGCTGCGGTTAAGACACTGCTTGAAATGCCTTCCTCCTGTATCAGAGAGCCTGGGTTTGAGTCCGGGCTCCCCTCCCAACTCCAACTTCCTGCTAATGCACACCTTGGGAGGCAACGGATGATGGCTCCAGTACTTGGGTTCCTGCTACCCACATGGGAGACCTGGATTGAGTTCCAGACTCCTGAGTGTTGTGGGCATTTGGGAAGTGAACCAGAGGACAGTAGATCTCTCTTCCTATCTCTGTCTCTTAAATATAAATAAATAAATAGATTTAGGCTATAAAGACATGGTGGCTTTTGTCTTGTCCACTCTGTCCCTCTGGGAGAAGCCAGTTGCCATGGTAAAGTCCACAGGGAGGAATGAAGAAGCCCTCTAGCCCACAGCCTTTTTTTTTTTTTAAATATTTGTTTGTTTGTTTTAAAAGAGTTACAGAGACAGAGGGATCCGTCCACTGGTTCACTCCTCAGATGGCCTCAATGGCCACTGCTGGACCAGGCCAAAGCCAGGAGCCAGGCCTCGTCCCTCTATGGGATTCTGGCATTGCAGGTGGCAGCTTTACCACTACACCACACTGCTGGCCTCCAGAGTGAACCTTCTGAGAGGCAGCTCTCGAGCCTCGGACCAGCCTTCAGAAGACATCAGCCCTGGCCTACTTCCTAGCAGCAAGAGTACGGGAGACTCTGCACCACACTGTCTCAGCCAGACTGCTCCCGACTTCCGACCATGTGAGAGAACGTGAGGATACTTTAACAAGTTCAGTGAAAAGAAGAACTAGAACGCAAGTTTATTTTGATGCCCCAAAATGTTGAAATCCATGCATAATTTATTTATTTATTATTACTTTTTTGACAGGCAGAGTGGACAGTGAGAGAGAGAGACAGAGAAGAAGGTCTTCCTTTTTCCGTTGGTTCACCCCCCAGTGGCCACTGCGGCCAGCGCACCGTGCTGATCCGAAGAAGCCAGGAGCCAGGTGCTTCTCCTGGTCTCCCATGCATAATTATTTTCACATCATGCTTTTTCCATGAACTTCTTGAAGATCGTTCATATGTTGATTTTAACATTGAAATTCATTAATTTTTATTTGAAAGGCAGAGATCTTCCACCCCCTTCCTAAGTGCACAGACAGCTGGGAATGGTCCAGCATGAAACCAGGAGGCTGGAACGCCATCTGGACCTCCCAGGTGAGAGGCAGGGGCTCAGCCACTGGAGCCCTCACCTGCTGCCCCCCAGAGCGGGCGTTAGCAAGAAACTGGAAGCAGAATAGACTCCAACTCCGTCACTTCAACAGGGGATGCAGGAGTCCCAAGCAGTACATTAATTGTTTTTAAAGATTTTATTTATTTGAGAGGTAGAGTTACAGGCAGAGGGACAGAGAGATCTTCAAAATGCTGGTTCACTCCCAAAATGGTCACAATGGCTGGAACTGAGCTGATCTGAAGTCAGGAGCCAGGAGCTTCCTCCAGGTCTCCTACATGGGTGCAGGAGCCCTAGCATTTGGGCCATCTTCCACTGCTTTCCCAGGCCATAAGCAGAGAGCTGGATCAGAAGAGGAGCAGCCAGGATTCGAACCGGTGCTGATATGGGATACCGGTGCCACAGTCAGAAACAGCCTACTACGACACAGTGCTGGCCCCAAGCAGTGTATTATTATTATTATTATTATTATTATTATTTGACAGGCAGAGTGGACAGTGAGAGAGAGAGACAGAAAGGTCTTCCTTTGCCGTTGGTTCACCCTCCAATGGCCGCCGTGGCCGGCACGCTGCGGCCGGCGCACCGCGCTGATCCGATGGCAGGAGCCAGGAGCCAGGTGCTTTTCCTGGTCTCCCATGGGGTGCAGGGCCCAAGCACTTGGGCCATCCTCCACTGCACTCCCTGGCCACAGCAGAGAGCTGGCCTGGAAGAGGGGCAACCGGGACAGAAGCCGGCGCCCCGACCGGGACTAGAACCCGGTGTGCTGGCGCCGCTAGGCGGAGGATTAGCCTAGTGAGCCGCGGCGCCGGCCACAGTGTATTATTTTAATCCAAGTTTTGGGGTGATAATTAACACATCCTGCTTCCTCCCAGACAAGGATCTGGGATCGTTCTCCCCTCTGCTGTAGCTCCCTGAGCTCCCTGCCTCCCAATAACCTTTCCCCCCAGGTACCCATCCTGGAACACAGGCTTCCAGGTAAACTTGGAAATGGCAATGAATTAACCTAGCTCTCTGCAGGCCTTCAGAGGACCAGCATGGGCTGGAGGTTACCCCGCTGGCTGGGAGCTGAGGTCCGGTGGGGACAAGGTGTGGGAGCAGGAAAGCCGCCTCTCAGGTGAGACCCCACAGCACAGCCCTGTGAGCCCACAAGCTCCTCCCTCTCCCCACCTCCTTTGCTCCTCTCTTCTCTAGAAGGTGGGATCCGGGTGGCCCCTCCTTACTCTGACTCTGTCCCCTCCCTGCCCCCTTCACGAAAGAGCCAGGGGAAGTCCCCACAAAGAATCTTCGATGACTCCTCTCATAAGCCCAAAGGGCATAGGACGTTAGTGAGCAGAAAGGAAAAATGCCACCCACAGAACTTTCCAGGAAACCCCTGCCCTGTGAAAACCTGGGGTCTTCCACTGCAGCTGTGGGGAAACAGGGTCCTGGGGCAGCTGCCTCCAGCCCACAGCAAAGGGTGGGAAGCATGCTATGGAGACTACTTAAATTTTTTTTTCATTTTATGTGAAAGGCAAAGTTAAGAGAGAGAAAGAGACAGAATCTTCCATCCAATGGTTCACTCCCCCCACCCCGCCCCACCCGAATGGTTGTTACAACTGGGGCTGAACCAGGCTGAAGCCAGGAGCCTGTTCTCGGTCTCCCACATGGGTCCAGTGGCCAAGGGACTTGGGCCATCCCCCACTGCTTTTCCAGGTTATTAGCAGGGAGCTGGATCAGAAGTGGAGCAGACCGGAGCCCGTATTGGATGCTGGCTGCGCAGGTGCAGCTTAATGCCACAATGCCACAATGCCTAAGGGGACTTCGGGACTTTACAGCCTGGCCACCCCATGGTCAGGACCTGCACCTCCTCTTTCCTGTGCCACAGTTTCTCTCCCTGTGGCAAAGCAAGAGTCTCCACTGCCCTGAGGCTCAGTCTCAGTTGCCTAAGATGGTTCATTACTCAGGCTTCTGAAGGTGCCCACACCACGTCTCCCTAGGGCTCTGCCCAGAGCTAAGGTGTCCCACTCTCCATTCTCCATCCCTAGGGATGGGTGTTCAGCCTTATGCTTTGTCTCTCAAGGCACTTCACACACAGCACACCAGCTGAGCCCCACAGCAACGCCTATGCCACCCCGCACCCTGCTCCTGAAGGCCGGCACCTGCTCACTTCTGATGGCTTGTTCCCCTTTATGGGGTTGAAGCTCCCTGACACAGCTGTCGGGGGCCACATCCCAAAGCTCCACACCCACAGCAGGGCTAGGGCTTGGTCTCTAGGCAGACTTGAGGATGCTAAAGGCTGAGGCGGAAAGAGCTATTCAATTGGCCCCTGTGCATGTCCCCTCCAGCAAAGACAGAGAGAGAGAGAGAGCGAGAGCGAGCGAGCATGGATGGACTGTCGGTCTTCAGTCTCCTTATTAGCATGACCAGAGCAGGCTGGCTTTTTCCTCCCCAATGGAAAATCAGACAAACACACCATATGCCACGTGTTGGGAGCGCTTCTGCTTTCAAAGCCCCTTTATTACCCAATATTTACAACAGCCCATTTTGGTGGGCTATTACCATTATGCCATTTAGTAGGTGAGGAAACAGGCTCGGGGAGATTGGCGAAGAGGGCATCAGCAGAGCCGGAACGAGAAGCAGGGCTCCCGACTCCCACAGCCGAAGCCCCGGCCAGCTGTCTTGCTGGCTGGTCTCGTCCCCACGTGCAGTCTTTGTTCACAGTCTTCCACTTTGTCAGACTTGGATTAAAACCTTGCCAGGGCCAAGGCTGCATCTCCTGAAGCTTGCATTGTTCAGCCTCTTGCCGCAGGGGACTGAGGACATGTGACAGCTGTGGGGTGCACCCTTGCACGTTGCCCACAGAGGCTGCAGCCACAAAGACGGTGCCTGCACGCGCGGCCATCTGTGCTCTGGCTCAGCCACTGCAGCCTTCCATCTCCAGCTCCCACAGCAGGCCGGGTGACCTGGGTGGGGTGTGACACGCAGTGACCACTGGATGGCAGTGTGCTCGCATGCCTGGGACCAGGAAAACCACCCAGGGCTGAGGATGGGGGGTGGGGTGGGGGGGTTAGGGGGAGTAGAGGGAGGAAACTCAGCTGGCTTTCCAGAAAGGTTGTGGGACTTGGTCTCCTCTGTGTGTACGTGTGTGTTAGTGTGTACGCACACGTATGCATGGGTCCGCCTACTGCTTAGCCCCAGTGACAAAGTGCAGCTGAGCGTGGGCTGGGGCGGCCAGAGGGATGACAATATAAAGGAAACCAGGGCAGCTGGCACCCTGTGGGTGGGAGGGCTGCAGAGGGGAGAGGTGAGGGCTTTACGCAGCCCGGGAGAAGTGATTCCTCAGGAGACGGTGAGGGTGAGACACTGGAAGCGGCCAGAAACAAAAAGGGGGAAGAGGAGGAGACTGGCTGGGGAAAGTAGGTTAGGAGGCTGGGGTGGGAGAAGGGAGCCCCCAGAGGCAGGGAAGGGACAGGAACCGGCACTGGACAAGAAACAGCCACAGGCAGGCTTGCTGCTGACAGGGGGTTTATTTGGAGGGAGCAGCCGAGATCCGGCCGCTTCTGGCCGTCAGAGCTGCCTTGGCTCCTGTTGGGGCTCCAGCCCCGGCTCCGGCTCCAGCTCTGCCTCCGCCTCCAGCTCCAGCTCCTCTATCTTGCTCTGAGCCTGAGGGGGGGGAGCACCATGCTCCAAGGCAGAAAATCTTCTTGGTCGCCACTATGGGAAGAGATGAAGAAAGGGAGGGAGGGTGGGAGAAGGAGGCGTGAGGGCCCCAGGGAAAAGGTGTAGGAAGCGGGCTCAGTCCCCCAAGTTTTTCTCAGCCCCCTTGCCCTCTTCACCTGGTCCCCAGCTTTCTCCCCACCCCTTTAAGCTTCCCCAAGCACAAGCAGGCCCTGGAGTGCAGAGACAGGTTCATGGTCCACCTTGATCATCTTCCCTAGAGGAGAGAGGAAGCCGGAAGTGGGGAGGGGCGTCGTCCCTAGCTCACCTGTCTTCTCCAAAGGTGAAATCCAAAAGCTGCAGTCACCAAGAGGAGCAGCAAGAGGACAGCGAGGATGAGAGAGAGAGAGACAGGTGCTTTGAGGGCACCTGGGGCTCTCCCAGAGCGCCGGGCTCCTATGGAGAAAGGACAGGATCAGCCACAAGGTCAGGCCTGCAAAGGACATCCTTGTGCTGGACAGAGGCGGGGTATGGTCCGGAGAGTTTGAGGGACTGGTCCAGGGTCATTCAGCTGATTAGTGGCAGAAGTAGGTCAGGCCTAGACAAGAGCTTGAGGTCTCTGACTGGCAAAAAAAAAAAAAAAAAAAAGAAGAAGAAGAAGAAAGAGAGAAAGAGAGAAGGAGAGAAGGAGAGAAGGAGAGGAGAGAAAGAGAGAAAGAGAGAAAGAGAGAAAGAGAGAAAGAGAGAAAGAGAGAAAGAGAGAAAGAGAGAAAGAGAGAAAGAAAGAAAGAAAGAAAGAAAGAAAGAAAGAAAGAAAGAAAGAAAGAAAGAAAGAAAGAAAGAAAGACCACCGGGAAGGGGGCCAGGGAAGTGATCCGGAAGGGGATTGGGCCACGGCATTTGGGGCCTCAGACCTGGCCTGGGCGACCCTGTGAAGTACACTGCTGCTCCCAAGAGCTTCTCCCCACGGTAGAGCTGGCACTGCCAGGGCTGGGAAAGCAGTGTGGCCTCGTGCACCTCCAGCCAGGGGCCCGGGGCGCTCCTCCAGGACGGGTTGCCCAGGGGGCTCCACACAAAGCGCTCATGTCCAGATGCTGGAGTCACCTCACACAGCAGCTTCCCTGGGGAGCCAGGGATCCCAAAGGACTGGGGAGTCACTGAAAAAAATCAGAGGGAAGAGAACTTTCAGGGGTCCAACCCATTTCCTTGATAGCCCAGGTTCAAATCCCGAATCGCAATCACTTTGCACGCTCTGGGGTTCTGACTGGGAAAGGCTGGAGAGAGGAGATCAGAAGTCATGGCCAAATTAATCTTCTCAAGACAATGCTCCAGGGGCAGGCATGAGACACGGTGGTTAAGCCGTCCCCTGGGACGTTTGCATCCCATAAAGAAGCGCCTGGGTTCGAGTCCCAGCTCTGCTTTGGAGTCCAGCTTCCAGTCCTTTGGTCCCTGCTACCCACGTGGGAGACCCAGATGGAGTTCCTGGCTCTTGACTTCAACCTGGCCTAGCCCTGGCTATTGTGGGCATTTAAGGAATGAACCTGGGCAGATGGGAAAACTTCCTCTCTCTGTCTCTACCTCTCAAACAAAAAACAACGCCCTACTCTAGTGGATCACTGCCTGCTTTAGAAATGTTGCAAGGGGGCCGGCGCTGTGGCGTAGCGGGTGAAGCATCCCAGATGGGCGTTGATTCAGTCCTGGCTGCTCCATTTCTGATCCAGCTCCCTGCTAATGTGCCTAGGAAAGCAGCAGAAGATGCCCAAGTTCCTAGGTCCTGCACCCATGTGAGAGCCCAGGAAGAAGCTCCAGGCTCCTGTTTTCAGATCAGCGCAGCTCCTGCTGTTGCGGCCATTTGGGGAGTGAACCAGCTGATGGAAGACCTCTCTCTCTCTCTGCCTCTGCTTCTCTGTAACTCTGCCTTCCAAATAAATAAATAAATCTTAAAAAAAAAAAAAAAAGAAAGAAAGAAACTTCTCAGGCTCCTTTTAGGACACTGTAGGACCACATAAGAAATCTTAATTTAGATTTTCTCTCTCTCTCTCTCTCCCTCTCTTTCTCTCTTTCCTCTCTCTCAAGATTTACTTTATTTATTTGAAAGACAGAGTGACAGAGACAGAGAAAAGACACCTTCTATCTGCTGCTTCAGGAGCCTGGACCTCCATCTGGGTCTCCCACTTGGAGGGGCAGGGATCCAAGGATATAGGCCATCCTCTGCTGCCTTTCCAGGCACATTAGCAGGGAGCTGGATCCGAAGCAGAGCAGCCGGGACTCAAAGTCAGCACTCTGATAGGGGGTGCTGGTGTGGCCGTTAGCAGCTTAACCCACTGCACTGAGTGCAACTCCACCCCTCTTCTACATCACCCTCTGCTCCAGGGCTGAGAGTCTGCAGTGACAGATATTGTGAGGTGAGAAGGCCCTGAATACACCTTGCAGTGTTTCCCCTTCCGTAATAACCGAGTCACACCAGGGCCTGTGCCTTGTGGAGCCCCCTTGAAATGAACTTCATTCTTCTTTCTGGATGTTTAGAGAACACCAAAGTGTCCCACTGGTGACAGAGCATTCTCAAAGCGGCACAGTGAGACACAGGGCGTGGAGAGCCTCCATCTGGCCGAGCAGGTGCCGGGGCAGCGAGGAGTAGGTGACACAGACACCCGAGTGTAGACCCTGGCCTGACACTTGCTGTGTAAGAAAGTTCCTCCTCTGTAAAACAGGGGTGGGTCACATGATCTCTCTTACTGAGTTGTACATAAAACAGCCCATCCTTAAGAAGACACTGGACAGAAAGAACCGATAGCCTTTGGGATGGACTGTGTACAGAAGGACCCCAGGCTTTGTGGAGGAGGGGACACCAGTGGGGCTACTCCCAGGCCGAGGCTGGTGTCAGAAAAAAATGGGGCTCAGAGGGAGGCCCGGAGTACATATAATATCTAGGTGAAGACATCCAGAAAATGCGAGGAAATTCACGATTGGCCCTCAGGACCGATGTATTATCTGTCAGCTTATTTGTCAGTCATTCAACCACTGCATATTATTAAGCACCGACTATGCGGCGCTACTATTCAGTGGCCACAGGTAAACACAGCAGACATGGTTAATCTGTCATCGCTGACAATGACCAGTCAACGAACACATGTTTTTCTGAGATTTTTTTTTTTTCTGTTTGCTTTATACTGTCTTGGAAAACCCTCGCTCAGTAAATATTTGCTGACCAAGGCACTGCTTTATCAGCTCCTCCCAAACCCAGGCCACTTCCTGCAACTTGAACCCAAGCCCTGGCCCCAAAGTGGACAAAGATTCTAGACATGTATTCCATGTCTTTGGAACCATTCAAACTTTTGCACCCCTCCTCCTAATGTCTCAGACCCTCCAGCCAATTCAGATCAGGGGGAGTCCCTTAGACTGGAACGTTCATTGTGCGACTCCGGGGAAGGTGTCCCACTTCGGTTTATAACACGGGTGAGAAAAGCGGTGGACAGGCATGGCGGGGTGGATTTGCAAAGTCTTTGCCCAGCCAGCCCCCCACCCCCCACCCCCCACCCTGCCCTTGCTCCCCTGGGATGAGAGCTATTCCTTTCCCACCTGGGGCTGACCTGTGATGACTGCCAGGATGACAGTGGCACTGAGCTGTTGCCCCTGCAGATGGATGCGGCAGGTGTAGGTCCCAGCCTGAGCCTGGCTCACGGCCTCTAGTCGAAGAGCAAAGTTGCCATTGTCTCCGGCCACCAGGAGGTCAGGGCCTCCACCAGGAGAGGCCCACTTGGCAGTGAGGAAAGACGGGGTCCCCACACCAGGAGGCAGGTGACAGGGCAGCTCTACCCTGGAACCTGCTCCAGCATAGATGGTCAAGGGGGTTGGGGGCTCCAGACCTGGAGAGAAAAGGAAAGCCCCAGAGTTAAAGCCTGTGGTGGGGCAGGGTGGGGAGTGGGGGCGTGTGGCAGAGCTGAGTAGGGAAGGGGAGGCAGAAGAGCGAAGCAGGTGATCTGGCTGAGCAGAGCTCTTAAGGGGGATGACCTGCAGATGCTCAGAAATCCAGACAGTGGCTGGGCCAGCCTGAGGCCACAGCTGGCAAGGGAGGCTGAACAGCCCCGGGAAAAGCCAGAAGGGCAGATGGCAGCTGAGCGTGTCAGACAGTGAGGGCCAGAGCCACGAGGGGCGACGCTAGCTGTCAAGAACCTGGTTTGGGGGTGCGCAGTTGGGGCAGGAAAGGGGGAGACAGGAAGCGGGTGTGGTCAGAGAGGACCAGGGAAGTCAGTTACCCAGCACAGTGAGGTTGTACGAGATGGAGACATTGAAGCCGTCTCTGTAGGTGAGGATGCAGCCCCAGGGCCCCGAGTCCAAGGGGCTGACCCGGGGCAGGAAGAGGAGGCTCTCAGCCCAGTAGTGCAAGGGGGACTTGTGCACGGGGACTCGGGCCTGGCCGCGGAACCAGCGCACAGAAGATGGGTGGTCAGGGCGGCTGAAGGAGCAGTTCAAAACGACCCAGTCCGAGGTCCTGAGAGACCGTGGGGGGCTGGCTGTCACTGTGCAGGGACAAAGACAACAGGGTTGGCCCCACCCGCGGCCACCACGCTTTCCCAGCACCACAGGGAACCACTTGGGAAGGTCCTAGAAACACAGACCTTCTCCATCCCAAACCCTCAGCGCCTGGCACCTGAAGGTGCTTGCCAGGGACCCCCAAGCGGCCCACCCCCTAAGATACAGGTGTCTGAAATGAATCACTCCACACAGTGCTCCCTCCCCCAGACGCTGCCCGCCTCCACCAAGGCACCCCCAGTGCGGGTGGGGGAAGGGGAGCTTAAGAGGTGCCACAGCCTCTCCACGGCCCACCCCCTCCCTCCATCCTTGGGGAAGCTCTCAGGCAGAGCCTAGGGCGTAGCCGCGCCCGGTGCTTCCTGCCCCCGGAGCGGGGCGGGCGGTGAACGGGGAGCCCTCCTCCCAGCCCCCTCCCCTGGCCCGCTCCCACCTACTCGAGGCCTGGCCCACGCGCAGCCGGAGGCGGCAGACGAGGGCGCGGTCGCCCAAGCGCACGGCGGCGCGGTACTCGCCGGCGTCGGCGCGCTGAGCCGGGCGCAGCCACAGCGAGAAGTCCCCGCGCTGGAGGCCCCGCTCGTCCAACTGCACGCGGGGCTGCAGGGGCAGCCTCCCGCTGCGCAGGCCTCCGGGCGCCACGCTGAGCACCGTGTAGCGTTGGGGCCCGGAGCCTCGGGCGGCGGGCGCGGGCGGGTCGCTGTGGGAGAGAGAGGCGAATTGGGGCAATGGAGGGGCGAGAAGCCACACTTTGAGGACGAGGAAGCCTCCCTAGGAGAGCGCTTGGCGGCCATTCGAGCCTCCGCCCCTGACCCCCTCCCGGGGCCGGCACCATTCACAGATGCAGAGGCGGGCATCGGATGGTGGGCAGGTGTGAAGGGAGCCCTTTGCAGAGGAAAGGCAGGAGGGCTTCGTGCCGGCAGGGGAAGCCGAGCCACTCAGGGGAGAGGGCAGACGGCTGGCTTGGGTGTGGGGTTGCGAGTCTGGAGGCCGCGATGCTGGGAATGGAGGTTTTGCTGCCCAAGTTTGGGGCGCATACCTGTCTGGTTGATGTTGCCAAGTGACCACTCCTCTTCGCTGGAGATCTTGGAGGGGCGCTGAGGGGCTGCAGGGGAGCCGAGCAGGGGCGCCCTCCTGAGCCCACACCACTGGGACCTCTGGCCCGGGCGCTGGAGCCTCCACTGGGAATCAAAACAGAGGCCAAGGGGAGAGACGGTGAGCCAAGGGGGAAAGAAGGAGCCTGGGTGTCAGCTGAGGGAGACCCCCAGTGGCAGGGGAGCAGTTTGTGTCCTTGTCCCTTCCCTGCCATTGAAGAGAGGCTTGGGAGGTGGAAGAAATGCCCCCTTAAAGGTGTCAGAAGGATCCAACACAGAGCTCGGGACCTCCGTGATGGACCTGGGAGACCCCAGGGAGATCCTGGAGACCTCAGCCCTCCCTCACCCCCTCCTTACCTGGAGCCACCCACAGCTGTTGCAGAAGCAGTAAGCCCAGGAGCCGAGCCTCCCACATCTCCCCTAGGACCTGGGCTGCCTGGAGCCCACCGGAGGGAGGAGGTCAGGGAGGGGGGAGGGGTGGCAGAGTTCTGCCAGGAGGGAGGTGGAGGAAAGAGGGGGGTACTGGTTAGGTGCTAGGAGACAGAGTAGGGGAGGACCAATGACCAGAGGTTGGGCTGGGGGGAAAGCTGACCAGAGAGGCAGCCTGGGGAGGGGGGGGGTTGTGGTCCCTGGACCCAGCAGGGAGGTGGCAGAGAGCAGAGGCTGGCGAGGCGGCATGCAGTGCTGCTGCGCCCAGGGCCCTGGCCCGTGTCCTCCTGCCTTCCCTTCACCTTCCCCACTTCCCCTCCCCGGTGCTGCCCGCCCCCCACACCCCGGGGCTCACGGTTTCGCTTCGCAGTGGAAAGTCTGAGGGGGTTGATTCCCAGCAGCATCACCCTCCACCCCTGTGGCCTCGCTCCCCTTGTTTACTTCCTCAGCCCCGGGTCTCCCCACTGCCCCCTCCCCTCCCCCGCCCCACCCACTCTGCCCATTCCCAGAGGCCTGCTAGGCTTCCTTGCCAAGCATTTCTGCCTGAACTGCCCACTCGCCATCCCTGCATGGCTTCCCAGCTCCAGGATTCAGGCCTGCTTCTCAGTCTCCCCCTTTGTTCCCTTAACCTCCCAGACCTTCATCATCCCCACCCATCCCCAGGGGCTCCTGGGAACAAGGTGGACCGAAGCTTTACTACACCCTAAACAATGGTCGGCTAAGACGCCACTGGGGGTGCCTGCATCCCGTGTCGGAGTGCCAGCTCTGCTCCCGTTTCTAGTTTCCTGCTAATGTGCACCCTGGGAGGCAGCACTGATAACTCAAGAAGCTGGGTCCCTGGCACCCACGTGGGAGACCTGGACTGCGTTCCAGGCTCATGGCTTTAGCTTAGCTCAATTGCAGGCATTTGGGGGAGTGAACCAGCTGATCGAAGACCTCTGTGTCTCTCAAATATTTTATTTTTTAAAGGTAAGTCTGGGCGAATGAGTGGCACAATGGATTAAACCATTCCTTTGGATACCCACATCCCACATCAGAGTGCTGGTTCAAATCCCACTACTCAATGCTTCAGATCCAGCCTCCTGCTAGTGCAAAGGAAAGGCAGTGTATGGTGGTCCAAGTACTTGGGTTCCTAGAGCCCACATGAGAGACCAGTTGGAGTTCTTGACTCCTGGCTTCAGGCTGGCCTTGCCCTTGGCTCTTGTGGGCATTTAAGGAGTGAACTAGCGGCTGGATCATCTCTTTCTATCACTCTGCTTTTCAAATAAATCAGGTGTAACTGGGCTGGTGAGAATCACTAGTGTGTTGAACCTTCATTTTGTGCTAGGTACTACATTGGAACATCTCACTTTAATTCATGAAATCGCATATCCTCCTTGCCCATTGTATAGATGAAGAAACTGAGGCTCAGAGCAATTAAGTAACCTGCTGGGGACTAGGAAGGTGTAAGCTGTGAGTGCTGTATGGGCCTGCCCCTCACTTGACTTAAAAGGTGACATCTGGGGAGAATGGTACCGCCCATGAGTCAACCTCTGTCCCCACTGTGCCAAGATAGCAAGGGGGATGGAGGGAGAGGGAGGGACTAAGGAGGGAAGCCTGAGACAGCTCCGGCTCTCCACCCAAGCCCAGCCCAAGGAACCAAACTGGGTGAGGTGAGGGTAGCTGCCAAGAACAGCAGGCCTGAGAACCACCAGAAGCCCTGCCTGATCTGCACGCCAGAGGCAGAGGCAGCTTATACTCCAGATCCCAAGGGGTTCACACCCAGGCCCAGCTGCCCTCTCCCACTCCAGGGGCGGGACTTCCTGTCTCTGGGGCTGTTAATATTTGCCTGGTTCAGCACAATACAGCTGGTAGCTTTCCACTGGGCTCAGCAATGTCTGGTATCGCTGGGGAAGAGCATCCCCAAGAATCCAAAACAGGACATGTCTGCTCTCAGAAGGGCCGGCTCATGGGCCGCCCTCGAGGGCTGATCTTGTCTTCTTGAGTCATGGGTGGTAGGAGTATTGTTTTTTTATAAAACTATTTACGAATTTACAACAGAGTAAGCTGGTTCACTCCCCAAATGCCCTCAAGAGCCGGGGCTGGGCCAGGCTGCAGCCAGGAACCTGGAACTCAGTCTGGGTTTCCCACATGGGTGGCAGGGACCCAAGTATTTGAACCGTCACCTGCTGCCTCCCAGGATACACACTAACAGGAAGCTGGATCCAAAGTCCCAAATGGTGGCGACGTCACCACTGTGCCAAACTCCTGCCCAGAGCTCTGCTTTTTTTTTTTTTTTTTAACAGAAGGGCCCTGGCAGCCTGAGGTCAGCCACCTGCTGTCCCCCCTTCCCCCTCCCCTTGCCCTGACCTGCACTGACTGGAGCCTGGCAAAGCAGGAGACAGATTAAAAACAGAAGCGCGACCGTTTCTTTATTAAATTATACAAAAAGGGGAGGGGAGGGGGGCAGCTGTGGGGCTCGGCCCCAAACCCCGGCCCCACCCCGGCCTGGCGCTGTCTGAGAGGAGGGGATCTGACGGGGAGCCAAGGATCAGGCAGGAGAGGGGCGGGGTGGGGTGTGAGGTTGGGGGGTGCAGCGGTTACGTAGGAGAGGCCACCAGAGGGAGGCGGGGGCTGGTGGGGGACAGGGAGGAAGAGAGCAAAGAAAGGCGGGGGGCACTGGGGACCGGCTGGGGACTGAGATGGACGGAGCAGGTCAGGTGGCAACAACGGCAGAGTGAGGGTGCAGGGGGCAGTGACTGGAGGAGGGGAAATGAGAAAGCCAGGGAGAAGGAAGAGGGTGGCAGCTCTGGCGCAGGGCCCAGAGCAGGGAGCCAGGTGAAGTGGCTGCACTTGTCTGTCCCCAGCCCCTTCCGGGCCCCCAGGGCCTCTGGCCCCAGCCACTGGCAGGGGGCTCATGCCGACGCCCCGTTTTCTGTCTTCTGCCGCTTGGGATCCGCTTCATCCTGTAGGGAAGGAAAGAGCGTTGGGGTGGCTGCGAGGTGGGACGGGGGCCTCCCCCGGCTCTGGCGCCAGCCCCCACCCGGGCTGCCACAGGCTTTGCGCCCACATCCACAGGGCGCCCAGCCCCTGCTGCATCCCTGACAGCCCCTCTGGCCCCCGCGGCCCAGCCCAAACCTCCTCTTCGGCAGCTCTCTTCAGCGCGGGCCCTTCGTCATCCTCCTCTTCTTCTTCCTCATCTGAGGAGCCAGAAATGGGTCAATGGGGAAGGGCAGGCAGCTGCGGCGGGGACCCCCTGCGGTCACCCTCAGCCCTGCTCGGGCCTGCAAACCCACCCTGACTGCTGAGCCTCTGAGCCCGACCTCCCCTGCCCCTCCCCACCTTCTTCTTCTCCTTCATCCTCTTCCTCTCCGTCCTCGGCAGTCTCCTCCTCCTCCTCCTCGGCTCCGTTCTCCTCCTCCTGGAGGACAGACGACAAGGCCGGGTCACCCACCACCACAGGGTGACAACAAGGACCTGGGAGGGACCAAGGGACAGGCAGGAGCCCCCCCCCCCAAAGCAACTGGCAGGACAGTGACAGGGAGTGTACAGGTGGCTTCCGCCCGATGCCCCCAGCACACCTCAACCACCTCTTTCTTCCGCTCTTTCCGGCCGGCCTTCTCCTCCACTTTCTCCTTCTTCTCCTTCAGGTCCTGCAAGGGAAGATGTCACTTGTCACTCACCACAACTGACCTGCAGCCCTCAGCTCCTCCAACCCTGGTTCTCCCCGTGCAGTGAGCTTAGGAGAGTGACATGGAGAAGGGGCCACAGCTGAGCGACAGAACAAGGGTCCCAAGCTCCTTATGTCTGCGCCACAAAGGGACTGAGCACGGAGTCCTCCTTCCCCAAGTCCCCACGGAAGGGCAGTAGGTCGGTTCCCACCACCATCGAGGTCTTCCAAACCTCGCTGGCCCTAGAGGTCAGCTCGGCAACACAAGTCCCTCCATCTGGCCCGGTGCCCACGCCCTCCCCGGGGTCCCTCCCAGGCCCACCCAGCTCTGCCCTTTGTCTACCTCTGGAGCCTTTTCCTGAGCTCTGTCTCCTGGGCATCCCTCCCAGCTTCTAATAATGCCTTTGTTTCTCCCCGAGCCTCACGCTTGGCCAAACACCACAGGAACAGCGAGAGCACCCGAGCGCGTTCCCAGCACCCCCCTCTCACTTCCTCCCACCCCCACCCCAGACGGTCCTCTTCCCCTGGCACGTGCACTGCTGTGGGGGAAGAGGAGTAAAGTCGGATGGAAGAGTGTGGAAGGGAGCAGCGGGCAACAAGGCCTGGGCAGGAGGTGGGAGATGCACGCAGATGCAGGTGGCGCCTGTCTAGGCAGCTTCCCAGCACACAGCTCCGGGCCTCCTGCACCCTGGCTCCTGGCGGGCAGAGCCGCGATGTCCCAGCCTGATAGGCCAGCAGGAGCTGGCCACAGGAGAGTCCCCTCTGGACTCCACCCCAGACTTCAAATTCAGATTCCAGTCCTGTCCCCAGCCCGCCTCTGGCAGGCACTGGGTGACACTGTAGGTGTCCTTGTGTGATCTGATCTGGTGATGCTCACCGACTCCATGTGGCTGAAGTTTCCTGGGTGGGCAGATCACCCGGGAGGCCATGACCCATCTGGAACAGGACGGGGAATAGGAGAGGGGCCTGGTGCAGCGGGAACTGGGCAGGAGGGGAGGGTCTCCAACCCCCTTCCCCCTCCAGCTGCTTTGCTGTCTCCATTTCTTTGCCACAAGGTCGGGATGGCATTTCTACCAAGCTCTCCCCTACAGTCTGGGCCAGGAGAACCAGGGGCTGGTCAGCTTTGCCCTGAGGGCCCTGGGCTGATGGAAGGAGGCAGAACACCAGAGAGCAAAGTCCGAGGGGCGGGGCCCCCCTCCCCTGTCCTGTCCTCTGGCCACTGTCCTTCCATGATCCCTCTTCCAGGAGGGCCTGTGACCTGGGCCCTAGGTCTGTGCTAAGCGGCTCCCTGGCCTCCATGCAGGGACACACGCCGATGCCAGCCAACACAGCCAGAGAGGAGTGCTCCGCCATGGGTGGCCACATGGCCCGCGTAGGGGCATTCCGCACCCACTCCTGCGATGGGCACGGGAGCCTGGCTGAGCCACTGCCACTCGCACCCACAAAGCGGCGACATGGCTCCAAAACAGCTCGTTCTCCACCCGCACACATGTACCTGGCACAGGAAGCCCCACACAGCCGCCGGATCTCAGACACACAAAGACACCTACACGGCGAAGTCACATGCCACATGCCACCGAGGGCCACACTGGCACACCTCGTGGGATCTCACACACGGCCCACCTCCCAACGCCTTGTGCGTCCTGCAGGCTCCCCGCTTTTCCCTGGCAGGCCCCGGCACCCCCTCCCCGGCGAGAGCGGGCTCCCAGCCCCCAAACCCTGGCCGCATTAATTTCCCCAAGCGACACGAGGCAGGTTCCTTAGGGAAATTAGAGGGAGGCTGGAAGAGACGCAAGGGCACAGGGACGAGGCCAGGAAACGGATGGGAGCGAGGGCAGCTGCAGGCAAAGCCACGCAATGCCGAGCCTCGGCCTTCGCGAAGGCGATTCCCGCCCTCCTGCAGGTTTTTAGGGATTCAAAATTATTTAATAGAGGAGGGGGGCGCCGAGGAAGAGAAAGCTGAACGCCAGTGGAGCAGAGGGCGGAAAGGAGGGAAGAACACAGAGGCGGCAGCCGTCCGGGGAGGGAAGCCAGCGGCGGCCGGGCCTCGAGGGGAGGGGCCGAGGGCGGCCGCCTCCCGGGAGCGTCCCGCGTACACTTCGGATTCCCCAACCGCCCGGCACAGGTAAGGGGAGGTCAGACTGGAAGCAGAAACGGGGAAAGGTCGAGGGGAGGGGGCTCCGCAAAGTAAGCCCCGGAGCGCTGCGACGGGAAACCGCAGGGGTAGACCAGGCGGCCGCGAGTGGGCCGGGGCGGGGTGGGGACGGCGGCGGGCTCCGAGCGCCGGGCGCGGGCAGGCTGTTGGCGAGGCCGGGGGCGCGGCGTGGCGCGCGGGCCGCTAGAGGGCGCGGGCGCGTACAGCGGGGTAGGCAGCGCCAGGCCAGGAGCTGGGGGGAGGGCGCCCTGGGGTCCGCCGGGACCCGGGCGCGAGGGCCGTGCGGGGCCGTCGGGGGCGGCGCGGGGCGGGGGCCGGCGCACATCCGCGGGGGGCGCGCGGGGTCCCGACCGCAGCCGCTCCCGCCCGTACCTTGGCGCTCAACTCGGCCGCTGCCTCCACGCTCTTCTCCGACATGGTGCCGGGGCCGGGGCTGGCGGGAAGCCGGGGTCCCGGGGCCGAGACGGAGGGGCCCTGGACGGCGGAGGGTGGCCGCGGCCGGAACCTGGTGCGGTGGCGGCGGCGGCGGCAGCGGCAGAGGCGGCCGCTCTGCAAGCTGGGTCTCTGGAAGAGGCGGCAGAGGCGCGCGGGGTGGGGCGGAGGTGGGTCTGGAGCGGAGACCCGCAGGGCTGCGGCCGTCCGGAGGGCGGGCGGAAGGGCGGTGCGGGCGGTGGCCGGCGCGCTCTGGCCGCGGTCGCTCGGTCCTGCGCTTGCCGCCCCCGCACCAGCAGAGCTGCCGCCGACCAGCCGCTGCCGCCCCCGGGAAGGGAACCCGCTTATAAGGCGGCGCTGCCCGACGGGAGGGGCTTCCCAGGGGTGGGGCAGGCGGGAGCGGGGAGGAGGATGAAAGAGGAGGTTGGAGAGGTGGGGATAGGAGGATGAAAGCGAGGGGAGGGAGAGCGAGGGGCGGGAGGCAGGGCCGAGCCCGGGAGGGGGGAATGGAGAGACTGACGGCCGCGGAGGGAGGAGTGGGGCGAGGAGGTGGGAAGGGGTGGGGTTCCTGCGGGGAGGCACCTCTCCCAAATCCCAACCTACTGCCTGCGCGAAGGCCGAGTCTGTCTTCTGGGGGCGGACTCGAGAGGTGGCCAGGATCCTACTAACCCCGAAAAAGCCCTGACATTGTGATCCCGTGGGGCGGGGTGGGGTAGCAGATGGCGAGGCAGCGCAGGTATTTGAGAAAGCCAAAGCCGACGAGAGGCCGAGGGCTGCGGGGCTGCTTGCACACTACGTTGGCTGTCGGCGGTCATCTCCCTCTACAGGCTCGGGGGCCTGGGGAGGGGGTGGCAGAGCAGCAAGGGCACCGCCGGGCTCTCCGCTGCCGAGACCGACACGCGGGACCCCCGCTCGGTTCCCCCTTGACTCTTGCTTTCCCGTGACCTGCAGGGAGGCAGACCCTCCACCTGTCCCCGAGCTCACCTACTTGTGCGCTGGGCCCCTCTGTTTTCTCTGCAGCCCTCCTAGACTTACCTGACTGCCCTCGCAGCCGTTTGCCTGGCACATCTGCCCTTCCGACCTCACCTCCTCTCCGCGGCTCGCCCACCCTCTTCCACCCGCGCCCCTGTGCGTTCCGGCCCTCACTCAGTCGCCACCTGCTCTCTGTCCTTTGCCGATTTCCCTCAACTCTTCCTGCCCTCGTTTTCCCACAGTTGCCTCTCTGTGCTTTGCTGCCATCTTCCCCGGCCTGTCCTTAATTCAGGTGCCTCCTTTGCAAATATCCTGCGGAGGCCAGGTCCCGAGCTCCAGCCTTGTCCTGCTGGAACCCCACACTTCCCCGGCGCCTTGCCCTCAATCTCAGTTTCTTGGGATCTCAGGGGTGGGGGCTGGGGTCAGGAAGGTGGGTGGGTGGAAGGCTGGGGTTTGGCAAGAGGTGTGTCTGGTGTGTGTACACTCCCATGTTTGTCATCAATATTCATCTAAATTTTAGTCCAGTTCATTTTCTTAAAAAAAAAAAAAACACGCTGGCCGATCAGTCATCGTCATTTGACATTTGCATGCTCAAATACACCGCCGTCTGGTCCTTGGTGTCCACACCGCTCAGTTTCTCCGAGTCTTCTCCCGGCTTCTCAGTCTCCGTCTCTTCAGAGATCTGGGGGCCCCACCCAGTTCTTCCTTGCGGGACTCGGTCCATCTTTCCTCTGAGCTTTTTCCATTCCCTCTCTCAATCTGTCTCTCTGAGTCACTGGCTGATGTCTTTAGTGATCTCTCCCCATCTCTATCTCTGTACTCTCGGGCTTCATTTATCTCCCTCTCCCCCCTCCTTGGCTACCCCCCCCCCATCTCCCAGTCGCGCACCCTCTCCCTCCCGCCCTCCTGTTCCTCGCTCCTCTTCCCCCACCTCCCAGCCCCTCCCTCTGTCTCGGACACCCTGCTGGGCTCTTACCCTGTTGCCCTGGTAACCGCCCCCTACTCCGGTCACCTCCACTCCCCTCCCCCCTCCAATCACCGCCACTAACAACCTCCATCCACCTTCCTCCTATTTTTCCTGAGAGCCAATAGAAACCCTGTTGCCAGGTGGAATGCTCATTTGAATCAGCCAATCCAGGAGCCTAGCTGCTTGCCCTGCCTTATATGGGGATGTGAGGAGGGCCACTCCCCCCACTCCAGCCCCACAGGGGACCAGCCCCTCCACTGTCCTTTCTCCCCGCCCCTAAGAGAGACGGGGACCCTCCTTCTCCCTTTCTATAAGGGGCCAGGCCTCTCATTTCTCTCACTGGGACCACTGGGGTTAGTGTGGGGTGGGCCGGGCTGTGGGCTGGGCCTCTGGGCTGGGGGTGGGAATGAGGTGTGATTAGGGAAGGGGAGGCGGAGGGAGCCGGGAATTTTTCCCGGGGAGGGGTGTCTGGGAGCAGAGGCAGCTGCAGTGGAAAATTCCAGGGAGATGGAGAGGCAGAGAATGAGAATCCTGTCCCGAGGCCCAAGGGAGAGCGCACTGGGAATCAGAGCCGGGACACCAGGGTCCACAGGGACCCCTGGGAAAAGACCTGGGAAGATAGAGGCCTGGATCGGATCCTTGTCCCGCACAAGCTAAGGGGCTGGGCTGTGGTCCAACCTACCTGGTTGGACAACAGACTGGGGCCTGGAAGTCTTGGCTTCTTCGTGAGAAAGCAGCTGAAAGTGAGACTTAGCATGACTTTGGAGCTAGTGCGATGCTAAGCTAGCTGCCCCCTCCCCCCACCCCCGCAGCCGCCGGGGTTAGTGTCCCCGGCCAATGGTGCCAAATGCCTGTGCTTTCCGTAGAACTGTTTCTGAGGCTTTGTGGAGGCTTGCCTGTTCCTAGAATTCAGTTACTCCACAGTCCAATTGAGAAATTCTCCCTCTAGTCGCCTGTGCTGCTTACACGTCTTCTGGAGGTGGGAAAGAGGCGAGCAGGCGAGAAGGGCGGCCTGAGCCCCTGGGAACTCTGACTTCTGGCCCGACAGCCTAGAAAGGAACCTCACTGCGGTGGTACCTGCAGCCCTTCCTGGGGAGTCCTTCACTCCCTCCAGCTTCCTACACTTTTTTCAGCGTGCCTGTTTTTTTTGTTTGTTTGTTTTTGTTTTTGTTTTGTTTTTTGATAGACTAGGTGCTGAGAAAGAGCCCTGAGTGTGGGGCCATCTTCCCTCTTCATTATACTTTGTAGCTCCATTCCACTCCTAGTGACTTGTTTTCTATTCCCCCTCCCCACTGCCCGCTTCAATCTTTTCAAAACTCAGGTCAGTGGAGATGGGATTGCTAGGGACCTGAGCCACCCAACTTTGACCTGTTTGTGGTGATCCCAGTAAGGCATAAACACCATGCGTACTGCACTACTAGTCAGTATAGCCCATCATGGCCAGGGCCACTTCTGCTCACGTCTAAGTTAAAAATAAAGATGTGCCTTTTTGCCCTCCACGTGCAACTCGAGCTCTGGCATTTCAGCTTTTATTAAGCTCCTGTTAGGTGTTGGGCACTGGACTCTGATGGAAATAAAAGTAAATGAAAAACATGGTCCTTGCACTGAAGGAATCGATGGGGAGAGCTCAGTAGATCAAAGTACAGAGTGATAAGGGCCACGCATCCAGGACTGTTTGCTGGACAACGCACTGTGTGGTCTCCCTGAGGATCCAGAATACCTCCCTGATCTCACGGCGCTCCGAAGACCACGCATCTGTTGCTGTAGCTTCCTTGACACCAAACCGCCTTCCTCGGTCGGCATTCTGCTGTCACTGACAACTCCCCCTGTGGCACAGTAAATACCTAGCACAATGCTAGGCACAAAAGAGGAAGCCCTCACTAGCCTGAGATACCATTTTGGGCTAGAAATTTCAGAGTCAACCTGAGTTCTTTAAATAGGCTGGGAGAACACAGCCTGTTTGTTGTCGGTGTCTCGTTGGAGATCTCATTAACTACTGGTGTCCTGGTGGTCGCTGTCTTTTGTGGTTTGAACATCATAACTGAAATTTTGTTAAGATTTATTTATGCATTTGAAAGGCAACTGCAGAGAGAGAGAGAGAGAGATCTTCCATCTGCCATTTCACTCTCCAGATGGCCCGAACAACTGGGGCTGTGTCAGGCTGAAGCCAGGAGCCTGGAACTCCGCCTGGGTCTCCCACAAGGGTAGCAGGGCTCCAGGCATTTGAACCATCTTCAGCTGCTCTCCCAGGCATTACATAGGGAGCTGGATTGGAGGTGGAGCAGCCAGGACTTGAACCAGAGCTCAGGCAGTGGCTTACCCTGCTGTGCCACACTGCCAGCCCACAACTGAACTTTCTGTGGCCTCTCTTCTTCTGCTTCTCCATGAGCCTTCTCTCCAGCAAGAACAGTTGGTTTCACCATTATACCTCCTTCAGATTCTTTGCTTGGCTTTTCTATTCTCTGTGAGTTTATGACCTCCTTTGCTTTTACACCTAGAATAGTTTTCTATTGCCCAGCCTTCCCCTGTCCTCCCTCCAGTTTCTCTCCCCTACATGTGTGCTTAAAAAAGCCTTCAAGGGCCCTTAAAATGTCCAGAC